AATGATCCAATTCCTCTGGAATGAGGCTGGACAGTCCCAAGTTTGAGAACAACCTAGGCTACCTAGTGAGTTAGAGGTCAGCTTGGGCCACCCAGCAAGACCCTGCTTTCAAAACAAAACAAAAAAAAAATTAAAAAAAAAAAGACCATACAACAACAACGAAAAATTCCAAACCTAGCAGGTAACAGAATATTTGCTATAATGCCTGCCATTGCTCAAATTCCTTCCCTGGGAAACAAACAATGGCTATGGCACTCCTAAGGTGCCCCCACACCAAAACCAGATACATTCTAGGTTTACTCTGGAGAGCTAGTGAGAGCCAGAATGTATTGGGCTTACTTCCGCAGCTGTGGGTGAGGGGTCACAGACAAGGGCATGGGTGGCCTTAAAGCAACCACACAGGAAGGCCTATACCCAGCATAGATGCCTGCATAGACGTCCCCTACCCCTAGTCCTTCCCAATTCATACACTTTCAGCTTTCCCCCGAGACTTATGTGCAATTAAGGCAGAACTGCATACAACTGGTTGGGAGGAGGGGCTGGATACTCTAGGAGGGGCCCATGACCCTCCCAGCCTCTTTTGTGTCAGGGAAGACCAGCAGTCAGTACGCCCAGCTTGATGACAGCTAAACTCATGAGGACGATTATGATAGCGGCACTTTGTCTGAGTCAAGAGTCAGTCCTGTGTAACACCTTCCATCTTCTGTCAGGAATACCAGCTGTCTATAACTTCACAGCCATTTTCCAACATGCTGTAGATTTAAATTTTGAAGAGAATCAGGTTTTATCTTCTTAATCCAGGAAGATAAATAAAGACATGTGGAGTTTTGAATTTGAGAAATGCCACACAAAAGACCCTCAAAAACTGACTTTGAATCAATGCCCTTAGTAACAGGGAGAGGGCACCAGCCCTGTTTCCAGGATGCCGCTCCACCTGCCTCTGATCTTCCAGGTGGTCCTGAAGAAGCTTATAGAAGGGAACAAACACCTGGACCCAGGAGGCCCTGCAGGTGTAAGGTGACACACAGGGGGACTATAGGGTTTTGGTCAGGTGGCACCCGAAGCAACTTAGGCTTCAGATGTCTTTGTCCTGTGCCTAGATAATCACTCCTTTCCCTTCCTCAAAGGATTCTAGGCTGTTCCAGGGGGAGGAACTTCTGTGTGGTTATAGAGCCAGCTGCCTCATGCCTTCCTTCCTAAAAAATCCGAGAGCCTTTGTAAGTAAACACAATAAATCTTCTGGAGAAAGAACAGAGACACAGCCAATTTGGTGTCCCATTATCCACGCTATAGGATATGCATGCCAGCAGTACAATAATAGAGAACACCACACACTGAAACTTCATAACTGTCAAAAACTTTAACAGGTACCAAGTTGTCTTGAGGTTTTAGCTCTCCCTCTGTGGATTCCTAATTCTGCAATTAGCAGACAGGAATAAAGACCAGAAAAGGATGTGAGAGCATCCTTGTTGGATACCCTACTTCCGAAGGACTGTGCACCACTGGAAAGATGGTTCCAGGACCCAGCTTATGGCAGGTCTCAACAGTCACACTTGCGGAACCAGGATGTTATTTTTGTGATAAATGTACAGAAAGGTGGTCCTCAGTTACACACTGCTACAAGGCGCTATTTAGCTGGGAGACACCCAAAAGACAGAGAGTAAAGGACCATTATGCAAACAGGCGGCCCCAGGAGAAAGTTGCCAGCCTTCTGGGTTTCCCTCCACTTGCTGCAACATTAGTGATATCGCGCATTTTAGACCTGCCACCCTGACCTCTCTTACATTTTTATTTATTGTATTGGGGGAGGGCAATGGGACAGGGAGGCATGTCTGTCTCGGTGTGTATGTGGAAGCAAGGGGAAGTGAGCTAGATCTGAACCAGGTCCTCAAGCTTAGTGACTCATGCCTTTACCCACTGAGCCGAATGTCTTCCTGGTTCACTTCTCCTGTCTTGATGCACACATCTGTTACAGTGCTAGAGTGACTCCAGCCACTCCACTTTCACAGCTCCTATCTTTAGCAACCAAAGAGCCCTGGAAGGGAGGAAGGCTGAAATGGTATCCTTAGGGCAAACTAGATGCTCAACAAATTCCCAGTAAAGATATCCAGATGTGGCAGCATGGCTGAAGTTGCAGTTATATAAGGGACAGAGGCAAGGGCATTGTTTGAGCCTAGGAGCTTCGGGCTAACCACACAGCAAGACCCATCCACCTCATCTTTTTAAATAGGGAAAGAAAACCAGCAACAAGAGTCAGCCTGGTATATTTATATGAATTGAAAGTGTTTTCTAATATTCAAAGTCTCAAGGTAAAATCAAAACCCTTCATTTAAACACATGGGCAAGAGGATCAGGAGTTCAAGGCCACCCTGAACTTGAGACATTGTCTCAATAAGAGCAAAAATGGAAATCAAACACTATGATGAGTCAGCACTTGTGAGGTCTGCGCAAGCATTCTTGGATTCTAGTGAAGTGGCCATGCCTACATTTGGTGGCCTTCACCATGAGTCTTCTTTACAGCTTAGATTTGAGCGGTTTTTTGAGGGATATGAGCAACCTCACCAAGAAGGTAGTAAATATGGGCCTCCAGCTGAAGGAATGTAGGAGTGGGTAGGGCCTTACCCCCCCCTTGCCCCATAGGCGTGGTGCCCCTAGGTGCAGGGAATCCAGCGGGAGAAGTCAGCAGAGCATTCCTGCCTGAGCCCTCCCCACCTGGACTTTGCAACATGAGTTCTTTCACCTTGCCCTCCACCCCCTCTTCTGCCCTGACTCCACCCCCTTGGCCTGCCCCAGCATTGTGACCCTGTAAGACAGTTCACCGGGTCAGGTACACTAGACACATGAACAAAGGCTTGAGAGACAAGTCCTGAGAGCCAACAGGGATGTGTTCTGACCACAGAGCAACAGCCAACACTAGGGCTATGTGGAGCTACACACTGAAGTAGGCAAGAATGTGGAGGGACCAACGAAGCTGGTTTCTTGGGAAGGCCAGTATCATCACTCCTGGCAGGAAGCAAGCCCTTCCTGTTTCCCCAGCCCACCCCCTCTCATTCTCTCTCATCTTTCAGAACACTTGGCTTTTACTTCTGGTATTTGGAGTGTTATATTACATTAGTTTGTCTTCATTCCTGATACATATGCCTTCCCCCACTCTTGCTTATTATCACAAGCTTCTCCCTGTTGCAACTCAGCTTTGGAAGACAACTTGGGAGCAAGTCAAGGTAGAAGTCAGCCAGGAACAAATAGTTTAGATTTTTTAGCTTCTATCTATGGAAGAAAGATCATGTCCTGATCATCTTTTAAACCTCACAGCATTGTGTAAAGTATTTGTTGGGTAAGTTGATCCAGTTGTGACAAATATGGTAACCCACTGGTTTCCCAAAGCAGCTGTTCACTGGGTTATTTACATAGATGTCATTGTGTAAACTTTTCATTTTCCCACACCCTCCTCCCCCCACCCCCATTATGTTTTCTGATTTGATTTTCCAGTTTCACCCTTAAGGAGGGGATGAAAAGGCTATGTGATTGGAAATGCTTAAGGAATTGATTATCTTTTTGATAAAATGTGATAGGGCCAGGCACTGGTGGCACACGCCTTTAATCCCAGCACTTGGGAGGCAGAGGCAGGTGGATCTCTGTGAGTCCAGCCTGCTTTACAGAGCTAGTTCCAGGACAGGCTCCAAAGCCAGCCTGTCTCAAAAAACAAAACAAAACAAAACAAAACAAAACAAAAAAAAATGTGATAGGAGTTGTAGACATTCAAATAATACCCATGAGGTTCAAAATTCTATCCCTGGGAAAATGGAGAGAGATGGAGAAAAGAGATTGATTTTAGCAACATCAAGTTAAACTACAAAGAAACAAAGATTTGACAATCATCTAGCCCATTGTGTAAAAACATTAGCAATAATCAGCTGGGTACAATATAATAAATTATAATAATCTGCTGGTCTTTTAATGCAGGAAAATAAACAAAAGAAACAGAAAAATACTTAAATACAGCATCATTGCCACCACACATGAAAGTATTTCCATAAAAAAAGTAATCTCTGATTGAACATTGAACTTTCCAGCCCTCTTTGGATTTACACTCTGTGATTTGCAGTCCTTATTCTTTGATTGCAGCTAGGGACCTGCACCGCTCCATCTTCCTGAGAACTGAACTTGACTCTTCCTGTTAGACATTCAGTACTTCAAGGCTAATATTTAATCTTAATTGGCAAAAAGTTTAGTGCAAATAAAGTTATACTTAGCAGCTTGACACAGTTCTGATGGTTTTAACTCTTTCTGTTTTCCCAGAGTGACCCCAGGCATCTCTTCTTGTGAGTACCAACTTTGACCCTGAACCCTCTAAGAAGCTGTCAGAGATGAAATCATCAGTCATTACACAAATGAAGAACCAAGCTGCTTTTACACTTGGGAAGTTCACTTTGGGTTGGTACAAACAAACAAACAAAAAACAAAAACTAACAACAACAAACACAAACAGGGCCTGAATGGTGTCATTTCTCCAGAGAGTGGAGTCAAGGTCATATCTGATCTCTTGTGTCTGTTTCTCTGATCACTGGCAAAGATACTCAGAGAAGCAAGTCATCAGTTTACACCAAGCAACCATAGATGTTGTTCACAGGAAGGCACAGGACTGGGTAAGTCTCTTCAATCAGATTCTACACTCTCCAGTAACCATTTTCTTTGACTGGTTGGAATGCCAAAAGGCGCATAAAGAAAATGAAGGGACACCATCTGACTTCAAACCTGGTTCTTTCCACTCATCCAAGATTTATTCTGGAGATGAACAGAAGCCAGAGTGCTACCAGCCAGAGAAGAGCATGAGCTGTGTCAGATCCACAAACTGCCTCTCTCTGATGCATCTGTTCCCTTTCTAGTAAGGCCTGGCACTGCCTCAGAAAACACTGTGCATTCCGTGCCTGGACCCTTGGCTGGCTCAGGAGAGAGGGACACTTCCCAGGCTGGAGTGCCTGGCTCTGCTTTGCTCTACATTTCATGGCCCAAACGTATGTATGAGCTTTCAAGAAGTTGAGATGACCCTTGAGGACACCATTTCACTGGCCCTTTTCCTTTCTCTTTACCAACTCCTAGCAGTTTCTGTTTCTCCTGGGTTCTCTCACCTACTTAGTAGCTTGCAGGGGTGGGGGTGCTTTGCCTTCTAGAGAGCCCACCTCAGTCACTATATTCTTCTCTCTCCTTTGGGGTGTGGAATTTCTCATACTGGCTGGCCATCTTCCATTTGTTGTGCTGGGTTTTGAGCAAAGCAGCCAAGGAAGTCTTCCGGGTGACATTTCTAGACATTTCCCGACTCTTGACCTTCCTGGCTGGGGAGGAGCTTTGAACTAAGGGATATACAGGGAAGATGGGTTTGCCCCGGGGTGCACCCAGGAGCTGCCATGTTTCCCCAGTGACATTACTGGTCAGATATTGCCAGGGCTTCTTGCCGCTGCAGTCCCGGACATTCACCCGGGAAGCCAACCTTTGCACTAGCAATTTGATGACTCCCTGGTGGCCATGAATAGCTGCTAGGTGCAGCGGGGTATAGCCACAACTGGACCTCACATTTACATCTAGTACAATCCCTGCCTTCTGGGTTCCAGAGATAAAGTCCTGAAGGGCACGCAGGTCACCATGCTTGGCTATCCAGTGCAAGGCTGTGTACCCTGTCAGGAAGTCTCTGTGCAAAGCCAACTGGGGGTCCTCCAAGAACAAAGCCTGCACACGAAGCCAGGAGCCACTGGCAAGCCTCACAATCCATTCATGTTCCCTGGTATCTAGGGGAACAAGGGACGACCTGTGCTCAGGAGGTCTGTGGGGTATCAAGGCTGCAGATCCATTCCTGCTGGGGACCCACGAGGTGTGTGGCTGACCTGCCACAGCATTAGCGTCTGTCAATTTCTGTACCAAGACAATATCCACCCTCGGGCTGGGCAGGGCTCCTGCCTTGGAAGGTTTCCTGGACCGAGGTGGGCGCCGGTTCCTTTTTAACAAGTCCTCATCAAGATGTTCCTCATCAGAGGAAGATGAGGATTTGGTTCTCCCAGTTCGAGCACTCCTCCTGAGAGACCTCCGGAACCTGGGGGCTGGCCAGGGTGAAGCCTCCTGCGGGTGATCTCCAAGGCTTTTGGCCCCTGTTGGGACCTTCCGAAAACTGGGCGCATTCCCTTTGTACCTGAGGCTCCGCTGGATCCGACTGGGGCTGCCTTCATTTGAAGACACAGACAGGCCCTCAATAGAATCTCTGAGCTCTCCCCAAGAGGAGGTTCCCAGGACAGGTTGCAGTCCCTCTTCGGGGGTTCCGGCAGACTCTTTGTGTTCACTGCTGCTCTCTTCACTGCTGTGACTCTCTTGATCCACAAAGTCATTCAGATCCTGGAGGGACAGCTGACAACGAATGCTTCGAAAGATAGTGGGTGGAGGGTTCCCGGGCCAGAATTCTGAGGACTCATCAGGAACCATGGGGAGGAGAGAATCACAAGACGGTACGAGCTCTGGCAGCGCCAAGTATTTCTCCGAGACCCCAGAGGCGGTTTCCGAGGGTAGCTGGAGGAAGTCGTCTGGCAACACCGACCAGGCACGCATAGGCCCCTGGTTCCTGGCCTCCGGCATCTGCGGATATCTGGCTACCCACTCTCGAGTGCGCTGTTGTTGCTGCTGCTGCTGCTGCTGCTGGGTTGAATGGTTCGGGGAGCCGGCGGTAAACAGCTCCAGCGGTTCACTGGAGGGAGCCTGGAGGGGCGGGAGCGCGGGAGGAGACGTGGGGCTCCCAGCAGGCTCGACGGCGGCCGGAGGCCAGACCAGCGTTGTAGACACCGGTGCTGGCTCAGCCACGGTTCCTTCCCGCAGCCACCCCGGAGCTCCGAGGTCACCCCCGGCAGACGCGGCGGGCTCTGGCTCCTCGCAGGCGGCCGCAGGGTCCTCGAGATCTCCGGGCTGAGGCTGTCGCGTGGTGTCCCCCCAGCCATTCTGCTGGCATTCCCAGCAGCAGCCGCCCCGCATCTCCACCGCCGCACACCTGCCTCTGGTCTGAGCAGCCGCGGGCCCCGGTGGCCTCCGGCTCGGGCTGTCCCTCGGGCAGTGCAGTGCCCTGGCCGCCTCCCGCGCGCTGCTGCCTGCTAGCTCATCGCCACCTGAGCCCACCCGGATCGAGGTATCTACCGGCAGTTTCTGCGCCTCCGGGTCACGCGGGCGGCGGTGGCCCTGCTGCGGTCCCTCTGCAGGGGTGGGTCGCTGCAAGCCCTCCTCCCCGAGCAAGTCCCTGTACCTCCTCTTGAGCACCACATACTTGGTGCCGTCGGGGTCCTGACGCACTGCGGCCACCGAGTTCACGAAGCCCTTGAAGAGCTCGCGACGCTGCTGCAGCTGGCCGGGAGGCACGTGAGGGTCGCGCAGGAAGCCCCTGAAGTGGCTCACGAGCTGGGCGTTACGCACTCGGCCCCCGGCCTGACACAGAAAGTCCAGCAGTGCCTCTTGGCTCAGCTCTCCGGCCATCGTTGCCAGGTCCCTGGTCGCCGGGGCGGCTGTGTCTCGAGCTCCCAGCACACTCCCACTCCGACAGAAACCCGGGCCTGGCGAGTGTCACCTGCGTCCGGGGCGGCGCCACCCGCCTCCATCAACCGCAGAGACCGGCGCTGCCCGCATCCCCGAAACGCTTCGGGTGGGCCGAGGGTCCCCAAGCTCGGGTACCCCAGCTGAGTCCCCGCGCGCAGCCCCGGTGGCAGAGGGCGGCTCCCAGTCCGCCCTTGAGCGACGCTGGCCTGTGGCAGCTAGTCCCCGCAGCGAAAGTTCCCGGGATAGGTCGGAGTCGGTTTCACCTGCGCGCTGGCTACGCCTCCCAGGCTCTGGGGGAAGGGCCCGGCCCGCCTCCTTTACCTCCGCCCTCTGAGGTGTCCCCCAACCCCCGCCACCCATCCTGGGTGAGTCAGGCTGGTCCAGCTGGGGACAGCGTGGGGCGGTGAGGCCAGAACGAACGGCTCTGCAGGAGGCACGGCCTCTCCCGGGTCCGGAAGGTGCAAGCAGGTAGGCGACCGATTGTCCCTCAGAGTGCCCTCCACACAGGAAACAAAAGCTGAGGTCGGCTCCCTCCCTCTCTCCCCGTGGCACAATTTACAAAGTCCACCCGGTTTGGGGCGGGGGCAGGGGGTCCATTAGGCAGGCTCACCACTGTTCCTCTTTCTTGACGCGGTCTGGGGAGTGGCTTGGGGTTCCCAGTGGCGGGATAGGGACCCGGAAACTCCACCTTGATCCAGACCAAATCTGTTTTGGTTCGGAAATAACAAGATACTGGGAAGGTCTCTCCCAGGGCACTGGCTTCAAGGAGTTCAAATACACCTCCCTGAGTCTGTGCTGAGGGCGAAATCACCGAAAACTACTACCCAAGGTTTGTTTGTAGCTTTCATTTTCCTGCATTTTTGTCTTATAGTTATAGCTCAGTGGGAGGGAGGGCGGGTTCACTGTCAGAGACTTTATTGCCTGGGAAGCCAAAATCTACAGGAATTATGTCTCCCCAGCTAAGGTATTTGATACCCAGGGCTGTTTTGTTTTTATTTAGTCTAAGATTTGTGAGCAGAAGAGATTCATTCCATCTGTTTCATACTGGCTTCTTGGTGAAACCTTTGCTCTGAGAATGGAACACGTGACAAAGGTCTGATACCACCCCAGTGTGGATGCTCTCTACTCTAGATCTGTTCAAGGGCTGTGTGGTCCAGCCTGATTCAGCGTCTCTTCAAGACTGGAACTAAGTATTTCCTTAGCATCTTCTGAGGAGGGGAGAGTTAACGCACTCCACTTTCTCGGTAACAGCCGCTACTGCCCTCCATTTCTGTGTGGTTTGGGTACTTCTCCTTTATCTTGAATCCATCTACAGTATCTACTGCAGCTCCAAGCCCCCTCCGTCCTTAGCTGTCCCTTCCAGCCTCTCCCCAACTGTCAACGCAAAGCAAAGCCCCTGTCTCAGCATCCTCTTTGACAGCCACGTTTCGATAAACTCTTTAAAAGAGAGAGAGAGAGAGAGAGAGAGAGAGAGAGAGAGAGAGAGATTTGACACCTCTTCTCCTGTTCTCATCTTTTTTACTTTGTTTTGCAATTCTGAATCTCTCACTAAGAATATCTCCAGCATGTTGGTCCTACAATTGTCAACACATTTTAATATGTTCTTCTATTCCCCCACCCCAGCCAGCACTGAGGATCGATGGAACCCAGGGCCTCACTTTTGAAAGACACTGTCAGTACCACAGACCAATCTCAGTGACTGTCAGATAGGCCACATCCAAAGTGCTTTATTTAAAATCCCAACAGTATCCTGGTACTTTTCCAGGAATGACTTGGAATCCTTGGCTTTAAATTATCTAGGTCAGAAAGAAAGACTGTCTATTTGGGGCAGTTTCTAGAATTGAAATCCAGTAGTGGGTTGACATCAAGAAACGGTTCCGACTGGTGGCACCATATAATTTAGAGGACTTACAGTATATAGTAAAACAAATGTTTTCTCCTAGACCTCAGCTCTCATATTTATTTACTGGTGTTCTGTCTCAGTGGGATTCATGGGTGTGGGAGAGGTCCAAATGGAAATCTGAGGTAGACAAGTCAGACAAGTCAGAAGAAGCTCTCTTTGGTACCTTGCACAAATACATGTGCCGAGTTGCACAAGTGGCCAAGAGGTGGAGTGGAGTCCTGATTTGCAATACTTTAAGACAAGAGGAAAAAGGGGACAGGAAGACTATAAAAGTTTGGGGGTAGAATTATTAGGTCTGCAGTTGGTTTCTGGATACCCAAGTGGTTTTTAGTGTCCTCTTGCTTGTCTTAGGGTAAGGGGATGGTTAGCTGGAAGGCTCTACATCTTCTGTAAGGAAATCTCCCTGCTTTCCTCATATTTAGTTCATTATTTCCAAAGGTATTCTTTGGTTACATTGCTGAGCATTGTTAGAAATGGGTTTTACATATAAAGAAGAATGTGTGCTAGAGAACTCTGTGTTGGTATCAAAAGACCAGAGAAATGACATGGCTTTACATGCTACCTGATTTAGGAGCAGCACATACCACAAGCTGGGTGGGGGAAGTGGGGGGTGTATGTGAAGGAAGAACTCAGGCTCAGCTCAGTGAGTGGCCACTTGCATTTTTTAAAAAAGTGAGACCTTTAACACAGAAGACACTTCTGGGGGGAGGGCTCTAGCTTCACTTAAATATTTTGGGAAACTAGCTGCAAAAATAGCTGCTTGACTTTAAGGTAAAGGGATGCAAAAGTGTAGGAAGGTGGGGGCCAGAGGAGGAAAGGTTAGAGAGAGGGAGTAGAGAGTCCCTCTCCCTGAGGCAAAGCCTTTTAAGAATTTCCAAGAGAGTCACAGCTAGATTAGATTTGTGCTTTAGAAAGATCTGGAGGGCCTAGCAGTGGTGGGGCGCGCCTTTAATCCCAGCACTCAGGAAGCAGAGGCAGGCAGATCTCTGTGAGTTCAAGGTCAGCCTTGCCTACAGAGTGGGTTCCAGGATAGCCAGGACTGCACACAGAAACCTTGTCTCAAAAAACAAACAAACAAAAGCAAAAAAAGATATGGAGGTAAATGTTAATTTGGAATTATGGGTAAAAAGAATATGTATCAGAATGAGTTAAAAAAAAAGAACACAATGTACAGCTGAATTTAACCAACCATCAGAGATATCAAAATGTAAAAATAAATTCATCTTAAAATACAGGAATTTCAAAATAAATAAATACATAAGCCTGGTACATGCCTTTAATTCTAGTATTCAGAAGGAAGAGGCAGGTAGATCTCAGTGAATTAATTCCAGGTCAGCCAGGAATACATAGAAGTCAAGACATGCCAGGGAACTAGTTCTTGTAGACCAGGCTGGTCTCAAATTCCCAGAGATCCGCCTGCCTCTGCCTCCAGACTGCTGGGATTAAAGGCGTGCACCACCAACACCCGACTAAAAACTTATTTCTTTAAAGAAGAAAATATTAGCTGGGTGGTGGGGGTGCACACCTTTAATCTCAGTGCTCATGAAGCTGGGGCAGGTAGATCTCTGAGTTTGAGGACTACCTGAGTGCAGTATGTCGTTACTATTTCTTATTGGCTTAATAACCTTACAAGTAATTGACTATATAAGAATATGTTATTTTCATTTGAAAACTTAGCAAAGTAACAAGGCTGTATATGGCGGTGCACCTTTTTAACCAGGGAACAGGAACAGAGGAATTGTGAGCTGAGACCACATCTCCAAAGTTAAAACAGTGAGTGAAACAGTGAGTTAAACAGGGAAACCACATCTCCAAAGGGAAAAAGAGAGAGGGAGGGGAGGGTGGAGATTGAGTTTCCCAAGGAGGAAGCTTCCAAATGCTGCTGAGATGCCCTGGGAAGAGGAGGAAAAGGTTTGCGTTCAGCAGAAGCTGAGAAAGGTGGACAGATGGATTTAAGGGATATTTAGGAGGTGAATTCAATTGGACTTGGCACCAGAGTCAACCAGGGGATGATGAACAAGCTTGGCAAGCTCCCGAGCAGCTGAGAGATGGTTGGCATCATATCTGCTTAGAGAGAAAATAGAGAAAAGATGATTTGTGAAAATACATAAGGATGGTAAATTCAGCTTGGGGCATACTAAATTTGAAGGGCCATAAGAATAGAAACATCTAGAAGATAGCTGGCAATATAAATTTGGGTCACCAAAGGTATGTCATTCACACCTATAAATGGTCATTTAAAGCACAGGAGAGAAAACTGCTTACCAATATACAGGCAGGAGGGTAGGTGCAAGAGGTCGAAATGGCAGTTCCCAGAGAGAAAGAGGAAAAGTCTTCTGTGGGGACTTGGAAGGGACCCCAAGAGGGAAAGGAACACCTGTGTCTCTGAAGAGCCAAGCAGGACGGGCAGCTTTCTAGAGACACTGCCAAGGCAGATAAGAAAGGAAACAGGACCAGAGCTGGCAGGTTTCTGGGGCTGATCTGGAACAGTGTCAGAACAGTGATAGGGACTGATGGCAGGTCACAGAAACCTGAGGGGCAGTCGAGACAGAGAGTGTGGGGGGGGGGAGGACTGAGCCACTATCCTTGGACAAAAGGGAAGAAGGCAGACTTCGGTACAGAGTACATCATCAAATCACGCAACCTAGCTTTTAAGACAGGATATGCTCTTGCGTTTATGCCAAGGGAAGATCTAGATTGGAGTGAATATCAGATGCAGAAGTGGGGGGTAGAATTGGAGTCCAGGGTTCAGGAAGAGGAGGGAGCCCTGCTCCCCCATTAAGAACAGAGAGACAGGACAAGGAATAGCTCCATGATAGAGCATGTGTCTGGCATGCACAGTCTTTGGCTCCATCCGCAGCCCGAGGACACAGGAAAAGAGAAACAGTAGGAATTGCATTTGGGGGCTCCAGATGTCACTTAGTTGGTGGAATGCTTATGTAGCATGCACAGGGGCTTTGATACCCAATACTATATAATCCAGGCATAAACTTGGCATGACTCTTGCCTGTAAACCCAGCGCCGTGGAGGTAGAGATGGGAGGATCAAAAATTCAAAGTTATCCTTGGCTATGTAAACAGTTTGAGGCCAGCCTGGGCTGCATAAATGGGTGGAGTGGGGCACCTAATGAGAGGGGGCTCCTTGCATTTATATCTTCTCTTCTGCTCTGCCCCCAGCCTTTATTTATTTGTCAAC